TACAGGGTCATGGAGCCTGCCTCACAGTTGCCCATCCTGCTGATTCCGCTGGAAGACATCACGAAGAGGCTTCAGGGCTTCTGGGGAGAAGAGGTAGATGCCGCAGTTGATAATGTCACTAATGAACGTGCTGGGTTTCTCCACATAGTGCAGGACCTGAGGAGAGGGAGGGCTGGAGTACTGGAGTGGACTGCCACCTGCTACAGTATCTTAAGACCCTCTTCCCTCCCTGGCAGGGTGGGTTTCCTAAAATGCACCAAACATCTTGTCCCTAACCGGCTTTACATCCTGAGATAACTGCCCTTCATCTTCACCTTCAAGGCAAGTCCCACCCCCATACCTCCCTCCATTCCATCCTCCCTACTTCCTATCACTAAGAAAGCATAGCATTCAGGCCATACACACCTGAGCCTGGCTGGAATGCCCTGCCCTCCCTCTTCCTCTGAAAAACCCACCTTTCAAAACCCAGCTGATATAGCTCTCTCCTTGAATCTTCTCTTGCCTGCCTGAGTTTGCTGTCCAGGGCTGGCACCAGGCATACTATACCATTGCCAAAAGAAATGCTGTTCTTTCCTCTGTCTTTGCACATGCTGTTCCCACCGCCTGCAGTGCCTTCCTGACTCCTTATTCATTTAGACAAATCTAACGCAGCTCAGTCCTCAATTCCTGAAGGACCCTCGTCCCCCAGGCACGGCTCTGCTGGGCCTCCTTTATGTGTGCCGTAACACCCTGTGCATACATTTATTATAGCGCCACACCTTCAGAAATGAACTGTCACCCCTTTCCCTCTGCTATCCTCTCTTAAAGGGCTACATGATGATTAATCAGGGATCTGTCACACCCATTTGACAAGACTGGGGCCCACCTCACCATATTCCAACATCCTGTAGAGGTAGGAAGTGAGAGGTAATGATCCAGAGTAGGCCCCCAACCAGCCCCCTCTCTGCTCTCACCTCATGTGTCTGTGGATTTTCAACGATGCAGCCGTAGTTGAGGGACTGTGTCCTGTTAGCCTGAAAGACAGATTCACCCCAGACAGTGACCAGCCTGCTCCAGGGGTAGTCAGGGCTGTTTTCTTCTTTCTTTCCCTCTCCTACAGCACCTGGCACGCAGCTCTGCCGCTGACAAGCCTTCAGCATGGGAAAGAGCTGACAGCTGCCCCCCCCTCCTCCCTACTTCTGAGCAGCCAAAGGGCACAGGGTTGCCAATGACACTTCTGTTACTGCTAGGGCAGTACATCTTCCTCCCAACACACGTTCCCACTTCCAGCACAGGGAAGCCTCTGCCTGTGACACACCCTCCATCCTTCCCAGGCCCTTACCGTAGTACCAAGGAGTAAGAAAGGGTGGCGCTGGCATCTGTGGGCATCCAACATAGCACTCAAGGGGAAGTCAGAGCAAACATCAGCATTGAGCACGAAGAATGCTTCAGGGCCGCCAGCCAGGATCTGGTCCCGAAAATGATACAGACCACCCCCTGTGCCCAGGGGGGCAAATTCCTGGAGGTATCTGTTCCCAGAGACAACTGAATTAGATCCAGTGAGCTAGAGCCCCTGATACACACTCCATCTCCCAGTGAACTCCTGGCTTAAGTCTCACAGAGAAGCTCAATAAATCAAGGGATTCTAATATGTGAGGGTAAACTCTGCCTTGCATACTAGACTCAACCCATTCTCATGAACTCAGCCCCAGTCTCCCCCTACCCCCACATGTATGTGTAACAAACACCTGACTGGAAGGTTAAACTCCTGCTGAGCAGTTTCTAGGAACTGGGTAAGGGCCTCATCAGGTTGGTAAAAGCCAATGAGCAGAATCTCCTGCATCCCAGGGACCTGAGGACAAAGGAAGAGGTTGAGAAAGAAAATATCCGATAGGAGGAGTGATGGAGAGATCCCTGGGCTGACCCAGAAGTCCAGAGGCTACAGTTTTAGCTTCAGCTGGGAGCCCCTGGGCAATCATCTTATAAAACTCAGGCCTGCTTTTTCCTCTGGATAATAAGGAAGCTAGAGAAATCTCTGCCCAGATCTTCCCATCTTTTATATTCCCTGCCCTACTTGAACTGGGACTCTAGAAAAGACTTTGGCTACCAAGCTACATCAAAGTAAAATCCATGCATCTTTTCTCTCCTTTTCTTATCTGGGAGGCAATGCTTGATACCAAGGTGAGGTAAGGGTATCACTTATCAAGGGCCTGCATTGAACTAGGCACTTTACAGCTTCTGTCACCTCACAAAGGTCTAATCTCTACTCCACAGATAAGGAAGCCAAAGTTCAGGGAGGATGTGAAGTTCACTTGCTCTAGGTCTCACAGCAGGGGCAGCCTGGATTCAAAACCAAAACCTTGCTGTCCCATGGTGAGCGAGAGGATGAATTCTGAGCTTTAGTATCATTGAGGGTCCCCATGCTCTGGCTTTAAATTGTCTCTAAGATCCCTTTCCATTCCCTATTTTAAAACAAGCATGAAATCTGAAGCAGGAAGAGGCCAAAACAGCAAGGCAGCTGTGAACAAATTGAAAGATTGTCATTCATATCTATGAATGATGGTTAGACCTGATGGGAAGAGATCATGGTTGGAAAAGGGGGAAATACAGCATGACAAGATGAGAAGTAAGGGTGGTAGAGAGGGGAGCCTGTGAGGTTACCTGGGCACAAGCCTCAATGTGGTGCTGGATCATAGGGACCCCCGCCACAGGAAACAGTGGTTTGGGTACTTCAAAAGACAATGGCCTGAAGCGAGTGCCTAGGAGAGGACAGAACATTTCAGCCTCCTGCCTCCCTCTATCCCCCAACCCACCAACCATTCCTGCCCAACCCTGGCCTCCTAGCTCCTCACCCTTTTGAGGACCTCCAATCAGGATCACAGCTTTGAGCATGATGGTGAACTACCTAAACCTTCAAGCCCCAACAGAAAAATTAGGCTCAGATTTCACACTCCAAAACAAACCCCAAATACCAACAGTTAGCCCTGGTTCCCAAGATATAAACCCACCCAGAGTTCAGTGGAGTCCCATCACTGGATACAACACCACAGAAATTTAACATCTCAAATCCCAACCCATCATCATCCAGCTGGTCTTGACAACTCACAGTGATTCTGCCCAAATTCTAAAACCCACACCTCACAATTTGGGCCCTGAACCAATCCTGCAAATTTGGAAAGTCAGCAGATCACCCTCTCCCTTCTCAGACCCCAAACCTCAAAAACCGGAAACTTCCTTCTCCAAGACTCTTTCTAGATGTTCAACTCTGTATTCCAACAGGAATTGTACACCTAGGCTAGGACCCAGATATCTAATTTCAGTTCTGAACGTGAACCCCAACTATTGAACACTAATATGCACTTGATGAACCCCAGTTCTAGCAAGACGGTCTCCAGATCCTAAAATCACTTTCTATGTGGAACTGCCAAGAGACAGGTTATCTTAGCATCTCAAACACTAAACCTAGTACCCCTGGAGTCCCAATAGTGTCTGGAACTGAATCCCCGGATGCGGATTGACGGCTGACCCTCTGAACCCCACCACTGATCCCATCCAATAAACATTAGTCTCTCGTAGCCAGGTGTGATGAGACGAACACAAATACCGGCGCACAGAACGCCAACCGTGACCTCAAGAGCTCGCCCCGAACTAGGGGCGCTCCGCCGCTCCCACGCCTCCCGCCGCCCCTCCGCCAGGTCCCTTTACCACTAAACTCCCTTTATTCCGGCTCTGCCGCCTGCCACTGCTTTCTCCTTCCGCGCACGTGTCTTCTCGCAGCTCGCGAGATCTGGTTCGCAGGGCCTGCCGGGAATTGTAGTTCTGAAGATCCCGCTCTCTTTCCAACTTTTACCAGACACTAGTGGTGGAAGCTAGGGGCGTGGCAAAGGGCGAGAGGGGGCGGGCCTCTATGGAAAAAAGGATGGGGCTTAGAAGCTGGTTTAAGCAGTCCCTAAGACTGAGACTTGCTGTCCAGGAATGAGCTCGGGGGAGAGCTAGGTCACAGGGGAAACAGGACTGAAGAGGACAGGCTGTAACTTGCCTTAGAAGAGGCGGGACAGCCGGGCGCTGGTGGCTCACGCCTGTAATCCTAGCTACTCAGGAGGCTGAGATCTGAGGATCGCGGTTCAAAGCCAGCCCGGGCAGGAGAGACCGTGAGACTCCTATCTCCAATAAACCACCAGAAAACCGGAAGTGGCGCTGTAGCTCAAGTGGTAGAGCGCTCGCCTTGAGCTGAGAGCTCAGCTGAGAGCTCAGCTGAGAGCCCAGGCCCAGAGTTCAAGCCCCACGACCGACAAAAAAAAAAGAAGAGGCGGGACAGGACAGGGTGGGACCTAAACTAAGCAAAAGATGAGGCAGAGTCATAATTTCCCTGCGGTCTGACCTTAAGAGAAATCCTAGGGCTGGGAAGGTGGCTCAGTGGTAGAGCACTTGTCTTGCATGCATGAGGCCCTGGGTTCAATTCCTCAGCACCACATAAGCAAAAAGAAAAAAAAAAGGAAAGTGGTGCTGTGGCTCAAGTGTTAGAGCACTAGCCTTGAGCTGAAGAGCTGAGGGACAGTGCCCAGGCCCAAAATTTAGGCCCCACGACCGGACCCCCCTAAAAAAGAGAAACACTGGGGCCCAATGCGAGTGGCTCATACGTGTAACTCTAGTTACTCAGGAGGCTGAGATCTGAGGATCATGGTTCAAAGCCACCCTGGCCAGTCAAGACCATGAGATTCTCATCTCCAATTAAACACACACACACACACACACACACACACACACACACGAAGCACTGGTCTAGGAATGCTCTCCAGACTCCCTTTGACTCTAATAGTCTATGATCTTGGCCTGTAGGTTTGGAATAAGTGTAAGGGGTAGGTGCCGGGGAGAAGAAATGGCGATACAAAGGAACAGAAGAGAGGCAAAACAACTTTAAAAACAAAATCAGAGAGCAGCTTTACTAATGAAGATCCAAGGGCCGTCGATCCCACGGGCCCCTGAGCTTGAAGCAAGAGCGAAAGATCTGGCGGTGCCTTTCAGGCCACGTCCACACGAGCAAAGCTCTGGTCCATGCCAGACTGTTCTCCACGTGCACCTCGTACTTGCGGCTGTCCTGGGGTCACGGCCGGCTAGTGGCCAGCGTGGTAGCAATCTCGAAGAACACCCTAGACCTGAGATGGGAGGGGCGGGGGGAGGAGGGTAGAGAGCACAGCGCACTGGGCCAAGCTAACGAACCAGCTCTGTTCTTTGCCACCCAGTTGTCTCATTGCTTTCTCTCAGGGTTTCTGGGCACAGTACCACCCACATTCTAGCCCCAAGCCCTGCCCTGGCTCAAGTCCTGGCCCTGGCCTGTTGTCCTCCTCCAATGTCCTCTCCGTCAGGTGGAGGCTCGCCCGGGATCTCCAAAGTCAGCGTGCCTGTGTCCTGTGCCCGTGGTGCCTTCGCAGACCTGGGTGGGTGTTGTCGGGTCCCCTATGACCTTGGCCAGGACTAGACAAAGGGGTGGGGGTGGGGTGGGGGGGTGGAGAGAGCGACCCAGTGAGGGGCTTTAGGGATATCACCTCCCCAGCGAATATTTTGCCCTAAATACAAAGTGCATTTGGGCTTGTAATACAATATTGTACAAATTATTAAGCCTTTCTAGTTTCATCTCCTTAGCTATTAAACGAGACGCATTCCCTGCCCCTTCTTACTTCCGCGGGGATGCATAGAAGATCAAAAGAGCTAGACGCCCGGGAATGTTTCCACGCCTCCAGGTGCCTTGGAGACAAGCAATGGAAATTGCCTAGCTGTACCAGTTGTACCCCTGGCTGTGCTTCTGGCTTACTCTGTGACCTTGGAGCCCTGGAGTCGTGTGGTCTAAGCCCACAGCTGACTTCTGGGGCTGGGTGGGGCCCTAGGGAAGGAAGAGCCCTGGCAGTGTAGCGAGGCACACCGGGCTGCGTCTGGGGCTGTGCTCCACCAGACCTGGAGTGTCCCTGTGCATGCCCCTCCCCCTCCTGCACCTGCCTCCCATGAGGATACATGCCCAGTGGGAGCACTAGCCGAAGGGTTGGGTACGTTGATGCTGTACTAGCCCAGGTCTGTCTGCCCACCAATGCCACAGTCCTCGAAGACGTTGTGGTACTTGTGCCCATTGTATAGTCCTTGCCATCTTTGCTCCAGCAGGTGAAGGGGTCTGGGAAGTGCATGTCAGCTTGACTGCGCTGCCCTGGATCTGCATGTCCTTTAGTGGCTCCAGCACCCTTGGGGGTCCCTTCTCACGCAGTTCCTTCTGAGATCTACCCACGAGCCAGATCAGGGCCCAGGGATGAGTGACATGCATGGCTCTAGCCTGCCCACCCCCTTTGGACCATCTCTAAATAGGGAAATGTGTAGGGATGTGTAGAAAGGGGGTTGACCCAGAACTGTCATCCTCCTAGAAAGACCCTCTCTTGACAGTCCTTTCTGCACCTCAGTGACTGCACTTTCCTAAGGCCAATGATCCTAGTGGTTTGTGACACTGACTCCATGTCCTAGCCCAGGCTGATCTTCATTGAGCTGGCCATCCCTCAGGAATGTGTTTTCCACAGTTCCATCTCCCTTCCTCTCAAGGGCTTCAGGGGTCCCCGCTCACCTGAGGCCCCTGTAAGAGGCCTGGGTGAGAATAACAGCACTCTGGACCTGCGGGTCATTGATATCCAGGGTGCATCCTGGAAGTGGTGCTGCTGGTTTCTTGGCACGTGCTGCTTTGGACATCTAGATTCAAGCTGAGACACAGCCTCTGACCTTCAACCCTTTCCCTGTCTAATTAAGATCCTGAGTAAGGATAGGGTTTGGGAGATGCAAGCACACCTCTGAGGAACGGACTCACCCTACTGGGCTTGCCTTCAGGATTTCTGCTGACTGGTTGGATTCAAGCAAGCACAGAGCACTCCTGGGTAACACAGCAGGAGGGCAGTCAGGTAATCAGCTTCTGTCCCTGGTTTTATACATTGTTCTCTTCCTTGCCTTGTTTGGCCTAGTTGCCCCTAAGCTCCTTGGGACCCCAGCCTCTGCCCCCTGACTCAAGTGGGCTCCTTATATAGCCCTAGGATGTCTGGGATGCTGGCTCAGCCACTGATGCAGGCCCAAGGGTGAAACGAGAGTGGTTCTGGGGTATACTGTGAGTCAGCACTCAGATGGCTGGACAGCTGGATGTGGTCCCCTATGTCTGTGGACCAGGCATAGCTTCAAGATAAGACAACTCAGTGCTGGAGCCACTTTATGTGCAGGTCAAACTGTAGGCAATCAGACACCATGCCTTTTCCCAGATGTTGTAGATAAGGGGGGTACAACTGTTTGTGGAAGTGTCCCTGAATTAAACTAGAGAAGGCTTGGACTTCATGGTCCATATAGCCAACCATGACAGGACCAAGGCTGACAAAACCAATGCCAATCACCTTACTCTTTCTCAATACCCACCCTTACAATCCAGGAGTTTATGGCTGATGGTTCTGCACTATGCCCCCTGGTGGTAAATTGATGTAAATCTAAAGGAGATTGGACACACACACATACACACAACTCTCTCTCTCTCTCTCTCTCTCTCTCTCTCTCACACACACACATATAAATGCCCCTTGATGATATTTTCACTCCTGTTCACTCTATTCTGTATGACAGGAGAGGGTCTTGCTGGTTTGCTTTGTCCCTGAAGATTAGCACTACTACTAACCTAGGTTTGCCTAAGCCATTTTGGAAGATAAGCTGCCTCATAGGGGCATAAAATCACCTGGGTGAAGGGATTCTGTTAACCCCTCAGGGATTGACTGGAGTCCAGTCTAGCCAGGCCAGGGCACAAGGCAGAGCATGGATACTATTTACTGTAACTACTTACGCGGGTATGGAGCGCTGTCACCTTTTGATTAGAACAATCTTGACACTGCTCTGCTGACATAAATTACCTTTGCTCCTCCGGGTTTAGAATAAGCAGTTCATATGCCATTTCCAATGGAGATGGGAAGGGAGCTCCAGATCAAAGGGGGGACAAGAGAGGAATTTTACCATTTATCAAGATATGAGTCCAGGCACCTCATTTTTATACAACAACATTTGCAGTGTGTAGGGGATTGGAGATTCTCACAGGCGAACTGTATATCTTCATTGCTAAAATGACAGGTGGGGAAGGTGTCTCTCTCACCGCTTCCAGCTGGCTTCACATCCTACTATTTTATGATGATGGGGTTTGCCTCTTCCCTGGAGTACTGGGAAGCTGGAGAGGCTGGGCTGTATTGGGCAAAGGGCGGTTGGAGCTGGAGCCAAGGGGCTCTCAAACTCAATTGACAACACACCAGTGCCAACACTCTCTGCTCATGGCCGGAGGCGTTGTTCTTTGTACTTTGCCAAGAGCAGAGTTATCAAGGGAGGGAACCATCCCCCTGGACACAGGAAACCAAGGTTCTTTTTTGCCCTTCACCTCAGCTTAGTTCCAGTACCCAGTGACTATTTAGTGGCTTTGCATGGGAGTGCCCCTGGCACCCAGAAGATCCAGTGAGATGCGTCCAACAGCACTGTGAAAATGCTGGACACAGATGTCCTAAGCCCTCACAGATGCTCTGTGTGCTTTGTTCGAAACTCCAACTCCAAGAGCCTAGGCCTTTGACTTGTCCTGGTTTCTTCTGTAGGTCTTCACTTCCTTCTCTCAAGGTGAAACCTTTCTGTCCCTATGTACAGGATCAGAGTGAAGGAAGCTGAGACTAGACGGAAGCATAGGCTGGCCCATTCCAGAGCCCAGCAGCCCTCAGTTGCTATGAAGGAGCAGGTGAGCAGGGGTGGAGGTTACCAGAGTCTAGTTTGGTTAGAGGGTGATGGTGGGGATCCAGTAGGACTGCCAACATTCCAAGAACTGCAGGGCGAGAAACAGACCACATTTTCCCTTTCTTCTAGAAATAAGGGATGAAGGATCTGAGGCTCAGGGAAAGGAGAGGGGTTAGCAGATACACCTTCCAACATGCCTTCCTTGCCCAGGAAAGGCCAAATGCCCCATCCCAGGATTCGCACTCCCTACCACCCAGCCCTTCCAAAGAGAGCCACACCGGTCCTGCTGCTTGCTTGTCTGTTTTTATTTTCTTTATGACAGACACACAGAGAGCTGCACGGAACAGCTGGATGGCTGGGGGAGGGGAGAGGGTATTGGTGGTGGTGGTGGTCAGGACAACATGGGCAATTGGGTTTAGATGGAAGGGGAAAACTTCATAAAAGTCAATAAATAAATAAATAAGAATAGGATGAAGGGTAAAGGCCAATGGAGAAGTGGTGGGTACATCTTTGGGCTAACAGAGAGTGCCCAGAGCTGTACCCCACTGAGACAGGAGGAAAAATCCAGCCACTGGCCTATGGCTCTCTTATGCTCTCTGTTCTCCTGCTGGGATGCAGCTGCTGGCCCATCCCTCGTCTCCTGAACCTGCTGCCCCCCTTTTCCTACCTGCTGCCCTCTCTCGTGTCCTGGCTCTCGTTCCCTGGCACTGTCTCCATGTCTTGTCACCGCCTCGCCAACGCTCGCTGCCAGCTCGCTGGCCTGCTTCCTTCACTTTCCCGGGCTCTCCCTGAGATGTACCATGCCCCCACCTCCAGAACCTTCCTTCAGTCTCCCCCTTCCTGTCTCTCTGTATCTTTTCCTCATCATTTCCCTATTCCCTTCTCACTCCTTTTCCTGTTCCCACCCCTGCCCAGCCTGGCTGATGGGTCCTGTGGTCTGGCTCTGGCGGGGCGGGGAGGGGGACAGCAGGTAGAAGTCCTGGGGCCTCATCCCCTCAGGTCCATGAGGTATAGCCTGGCCAGATGTTGCTGCTGGTGATAGCTGAAGCCCCAGGCCCACCGACTCAGCGTGGGTCCTGGAATGGCCCCTGGCAGCGGTGGCGGCATCAGTGGGAACCGGAGTTGGAGCCCGCAGCTCGGCTGTGGTCCATGCCACTAGGGGCTGCCAGGATAGGAGCGGAGCAGCACCTTGTGGCGGGTGGCAGTCTCAGCCCTGCGACGCCTCTGCTCACCCAGGAACTCTTTGAGCCGGTTGGTGGTAAAGGTGAGCGTCTGCCGACGCAGCTTCATCAGGTAGGCGTCCTGTAGCCAGGGGTGGGCCAGGCAGTCCTGCAGGGAGGGCCGGCTCCTGCCAGAGGAAACCAGGCAAGGTGAGCCAGGACAGAAGTTTCCCCTAGGGAACAGGCTCCAGACCCATATCCCAGACCTGAGCCACTACCATGTGCAGTGGCAGCTAGAGTGGCTATGCAGTAGAAGCAGCAGCCATATATTATTAGAGTAGGGGCAATGGGGGAAAGGTAGCCAGTGCAACCTGCAGACGGCGGCAGGTAGGGACCTACTCACCAGGGATGCACGGAGAGGACCTTTCGCAAGAAGAGGGTGGCACTCTGGGAAGTGTTGGGGTACAGCTGGAAGGCATCAAAGCGGCCCCCCACAATCCGAGCCTCTGTTTCCTGGGGTTCTGGCTCATAGAATGGGGAGTGCCCACTGAGCCTGTTGTGGAAGACAGTTTAATTGACACAGTTGACACAGTCCCAGCTTCCCACTCACTAGCTCTCTATCTTAATAGACTGAGGGTCAGTTCGTGAACAGGGCCACCCTGTGGTCCTGTGGCTGGGGAGGCAGCTGAAGCCTGGCCAGACACTCACATGATATAGGTAAGCACGCCTGCTCCCCAGATGTCTGTAGCAGAGCCGATGGGTTCGCCCTTCACCATCTCAGGAGCTGACAGGAAACAGGCCAAGCTGACCCAGCTTCCCTGTGGCAGGGAAACAGGGAGAGGCAGGGAGGCCCCTGGGGCCTTGCAGAGCAGAATAATGCCAGGCCATCACACCATGGGCCCAAGCAGAGCAGCAGGCCTCAGAGGCCAGCCAGCAGGACAGAGGTGGGATGTGGTCTGCCTTGAACAATTAGCAGGGTGCTAAGTGCTGAATGATGCGGAGGTTCCCAGAACTCAGGAGAACTGACAAACGGCGTCACTAGCTCCCTTGGATCAGTCTAAGGTAGGACTTTAATTCACAAAGATGGTGGCTGACACTAAGATTAAGAGCCTATGAAACCAGCCCGGCTGGCTCTAATCCCAGGCTTGCCCCTTCTAGCTATGGGACCCTTGGCGATTTACTAAACCTGTCTGGCTCACCATTGTCTCAGCTATAAAGAGTTGCTTGTAAGACTAACTCCAAGAAATAGAGATAATAAACATCAAACACTTAGCAGGTAGCCAAATGACAGCTCGTTTTCCTTATTTATATACCATAATCATTGATTTTCCTCTATCCAGCTTTGGCAAATCCTGTCTCTACCATTTATAACTGTCAGATTGGGCAGTACTTCACTTTCTCATGCCTCTGTTTCCTCATCTGTAACAAGTGGGTAATTCTTTTGTTATTTTTTTTTTATTTTATTTTTTGTCGGTTGTGGGCCTGCACTCTGGGCCTAGGCTCTTCAGCTCAAAGCTAGCGCTCTACCACTTGAGCCACAGCGCCACCTCTGGCTTTTTCTGCTAATATGGTGCTGAAGATTTGAACCCAGGGCCTCATGCATGCAAGGCAAGCACTCTACCACTGAGCCACCTTCCCAGCCCTCAAGTGGGTAATTTAATGCCAAACTCCAGGGCTATTGTAAAGACTCACTGAAAATGTGGACTAAGTCCATCGTTAGTACACAATAAGCATACAGCGAAGAGTACACACATGTGAAGTGAGCCCCAGAGGCTACTCCCTCCACCCCACCAATGCCCC